GAGCGGCCACTGCACTCCAGTCTGGGTGACAGAGTGAGACTCCAACTCAAAAAAAAAAAAAGAAAGAAATTGTCCGAGTGCAGTAGCAAGCACCTGTAGTTCAAGCTGCTTGGAAGGTTGAGGCCAAAGGATTGCCAGAGCACAGCAGGTCAACACTGGGGTGACCATGAGCATGCCACAGCACTCCAGTCTGGGCGACAGAGTGAGACTCCAACTCAAAAAAAAATAAATAAATAAAATAAATAAATCCTGCTTTCTAAAAAGAAAAAGAAGCCGGGCTCGGTGGCTCAGCCTGTAATCCCAGCGCTTTGGGAGGCTGAGGTGAGTGGATTGCCTGAGCCCGCGGGTTCGAGACCCACCTGGGCAACTTGGCTAGACCTCATCTCTACAACAAATCAAAAAACTTAGCCAGGTGTGGTAGCGTGCGCCTGCAGTTTCAGCTACTTGGAAGGCTGAGATGGAAGGAACACCAGAGCCCAGCAGGTCGAGGCAGCAGTGGCCAGGAGCAGCCACTGCACTCCAGTCAGGGTAACAGAGTGAGACTCCAACTCAAAAATAAATAAATAAATAAAAATAAATGAAAAGAAAAAAAGGCTTCAAATCCATGGTCTTTCATCTCCTGGAAACTGCCCCTCTGGGAGGTTTGTATGTAGGGCACACCTTCCAGTTATCGGTGTCCTCCCTTGAGCCACAAGGTCCTTTCATTCATTATTCATTCCAGAAATACCGATTGAACACTTACTATATGTCAAGTACTGTCCTAGATCCGGAGGATAGAGACAGTCATGATTTACAGACTGGTGGGGAAGAGCATTGGTCACACTTACTATGAGAGCTCAGATGAGTAGCAGGTGTTATGAACTAGTCTGGGAAGGACTCCAAGCTTGGTCTCCCAGTCATGTTTAACTTGAGACCTAAAGTCTCAAGCATTTGCCAGACAAAAGGGAAGAGATCTCAAGGCTGAGGAAACAGCGTGTGCAAAGACTTGGAGTAGCAAAGTAGACACGTTAGGGAAACTGAGAGGCCATTGTGGTTGGAGCTTGGAGGTGGAGGGAAAGCAGGGTGTGGTGCAGGGAGACCCACAGGGGCCAGACCAGCAGACCTTCCCAGCCACACTAAGAACAAAGCAAGGATTCTGGGCACAGTATGGGCTCCAATGTCACCCACGCCACATTTTACTTTTCACCTGCTCTTCTGGGCCAAGCCCTCCCCCCCGCCCCGACCCATAGTGGCTGGTTCTCCCCCCACAACTTTCCCTCTAGCTGAGAATTTTCTCAGCCAGTGGCTGTTGTCATCACTTCCCATCAGCTCCTGGGATCAAATTCTGGCTCCCCTAGAAAGCACCTGGCAAGGTTTCAGGAGCCATCGGATAGCCCCCGTGATGTTGCAATATTTACTCGTAGCTGAGTGTTAATTATTCCCATTTTACAGATAATAAAACTGAGGCTCAGAGACAGAAAGCACAGTTACTTTCTATCCCTTTTTACACCTCACTTCTCCCCAGTATGCGGAATCTGGGAGGTTTCGCGGTTCTCGCTGCCGTGATCCTAAGATTCGATGGCATGTGAGACAAAATCCCAAGGCTCAAAGAAATACGGAGATTTCAGGGTTCTAGAATTCCCAGATTTCAAGCCTCGGTGCTCCAACAAACACAGTGAGGGCGAGCCCGGGTTCGGGTCTGTGCCAGCTGGCGCCATCCGTGAGCCCCGCTCCGCTCTGTCTCTCGGGCCCCGCCTCGCAGACCGGCCGGAGGATGCGATCCTGGCGTCCCGAAGGCCTGGGCGCCGAGTCTGCGATGGGCGGGAACCGAGAGGCTGGGCGGGGAGTCGGGGGAAGGCCGGGAGTCCCGCCCCAGAGCAGACTTCCTGAGCTGCAGCGGGGTGAGAGGCGCGGCGGCGGCGGCGGCGGCGGCGGGGGATCCCGGAGCCATGGGGTGCGCGCGCGACGCCATCCTGGAGGCGCTGGAGGGCCTGACTGCCGACGAGCTCAAGAAGTTCAAGCTCAAGCTGCAGTCGGTGCAACTGCGCGAGGGCTACGGGCGTATCCCGCGGGGGGCGCTGCTGCCCATGGACGCCGTGGACCTCACCGACAAGCTCGTCAGCTTCTACCTGGAGGGGTACGGCGCCGAGCTCACCGCGGCCGTGCTGCGCGGCATGGGCATGCAGGAGATGGCGACGCAGCTGGAGACCGCGTCCAAGGGTGAGCTCGCCCTAGTGGCCCCTCGCTTTCCGCGACGTTTTCCCCTCCTCGGAACACCCACGTTTGTCCCCCGGACCCTTCCGCTTTCTGTTCCTCTTGTCCTCTTTAAAAAAAAAAAAGACTCTACTGGGAAAGGCAGCTTCCCGCGCTTGGCCCTGAACTTGGCACCCCGACCAAGGGGACCCCCGGCTTCAGAGAGACTGGAGATGCCTGAGAAGGAATGGGGACACGACTCATTTCCCCGCAGGCCCTGAAGCCGCACCTGCCGGGATCCAGGCCCCTCCTCAGATGGCAGTCCAGCCAGGTGAGGCCTCCACACCCGACCTTGCCCGCTGCCCCTCCCCAGCCCCGCCCTGCCACGGCCCTGCACAGCCTGTTGCCCCACGGCTGAACAAGGCTGGGCAACCCTACTCACCCACCCACTCACACTCCTCCTTGGGAGCCTGATTGGGGCTCGGGAGACGAAGTTACACTCCTCCCACCACCGTATCTGGGGTCCAGGGCCCTAGCCCCTAGGTTTGTAGAGGAATCTCTGGACAGCAGTGTTCAGGAGGGACAGGTCCCGCACTCACGTGGGAGCTGGCTCGTGCTCTCCTCCCCTCCCCCCCCCAGGACCGCACTTTGTGGACCGGCACCGGGCTGCTCTCATCGCCCGGGTTACGGATGTGGACGGAGTGCTCGACGCCCTTTACGGGACGGTGCTGACCGAGGACCAGTACCAGGCAGTGCGGGCGGAGGCCACCAATCCCATGAAGATGAGGAGGCTCTTCAGCTTCGCTCCAGCCTGGAACCTAGCCTGCAAGAACTTGCTCCTCCAGGCCCTGAGGAACACCCAGCCCTACCTGGTGGCAGACCTGGAGTAGAGCGGAGGGTCTGCCCCAGTAACAGCACGCAACCCTTGGCCATCCCCCTCCCTCAGCCGAATTTTTTTAAGCACAATATAAAAAAAGCCAGCTTGTACTTGTGTGTTTTTCCTGCTTCCAGCCTGAAAGCACGTGCGGAGCTGAGTTGTTTCCAACGCCTACACAGGCTGCAGAGATGCTCCGGCTTCACTGCTCACAGGGCCTGGGGCTCTCAACTGCTCCCTTCACTCTTCCTGCTGAATCATCACCATGCCTTCCTCATTCACCATTTGGTGACTCCTCCAGTCCTACCCCAAAGGGTCTAAAGGCCAAAGAGGCATGTACAGAGGGGCCTGGAACTGGGAGGGACAGACTAGTCTACAGCTTCTCTACCTTTCACCTTGTCCAGCAGGAGAAAAAAGCAAAATGAGAGCATTTGCAGGGGGAGAGACATCAGAGCATTACCTAAACATAGGACAGAAGAGCACAAGTCCCCAAGTAGAAGGCTAGAGTTCCTTCTGGCTCCGGCAGGCTTAAATGCTGCCTCTGCCCCACCCCAGCCCTTGGAGGGGGGTCAAGGCTACACTTTGCCCTCAAAACATGCTAACCACAAATGCAAATTTTCAGGAAATGAGTTGTGGTGACTGTTTCTTTTTTGGTGCAACTTTTGCCTACAAAGGGAAATAAGTATTTCTCTCCAAGAAACAGCATTTCAGGGGTCTTTCCAGAGGCTGTTTAGGGAACCAGGACCCTACGGGTATACCCTGAGAACACTTTGCACCCAACCCTTTCTGGCCTTGAAGGAGGAGGGAAGATTTTGCCAAGTAACAGACAGATACCAAGGAGGCCCAGTATCTTATCCTTAGGAATCACCCACCACTTTCCAACTTCACTCACCCCACCAAGGCTTACCTCTAATAATTATCTGCCACAGGCCTCTAACCTGGTCCAACCTACCTCTAATCTAAATCCATGGGTTAAGTTTTGTGGGATTTTTTTCGAGACAAGGCCTCACTGACACTCAGACTTGAGTCAGTGGCAAAATCATAGCTCACCACAGCCTTGAACTCATGAGCTCAAGCAATCCTCCCACCTCAGCCTCCCCAGTAGCTGGGACTACAAGCATAAGCCCCCACAACTGGCAGACTCTCACTTTTCACAGCAAGATACCGAAACTCCATCCCAGGCCTTAATTCCATCCAGCCGGGTGTGGTTGCTCACAACTGTAATCCTAGCACTTTGAGAGGCAGAGGTGAGTGGACTGCCTGAGCCCGGGAGTTCAAGACCAGCCTGGGCAATGTGGCAAGACCTCGTCTCTACAATAAATCAAAAAAATAGCCAGGCGTGGGGGCGCACACCCATGGTTCCAGCTACTTGGAACGTTGAGGCGGAAGGATGGCCTGAGCCCAGCAGGTCGAGGCTGCAGTGGCCATGAGTGCACCACTACACTCTGGCCTGGGTGACAGACTTCAACTCAAAAAAAAAAAAAAACTCCACCCTATCTCTCCTCCCATTGCCTTCTCTTCACATACCTCACTATTCCACCAACACTGTTTGCCCACACCCAGTGCCCCAGCACATGCTAGTCCCTTATCTTTGGACACCTTGAAATCCTCTACCCATAAGTGTGCCTTCCTCTGGGCTCCAGCAGCAGTTTCCAATGTATATGTGGCAGTGCAAACCATTGTCATGGTCTACTTTCACACAGGACTCCCCCATTAGACTGAGCCCCATTAAAAAAGAAACATCAGCCGGGCTCGGTGGCTCAGCCTTTAATCCCGTGCCTTTGGGAGGCTGAGGTAAG